CGCTGTCAGCGATGGTAGCAATAGTTAGGGTTTGCGGTGTCTCTGGTAGTGATGATGATATGCCGGCGCCGGGCTTAAGGGATCAGCCTTTAAAACCAGTCATTTTTAAAAATATATGCTTTTGGATGAAATTGTTTTAGAAACTAAAAAATTGAAAGTGATTTATATTAAGGAGACATGAAATGAGCCAATCATCTCATTTAAGTAATATTAATGTCGGGCCAAACGGTTGGCTGAACACCAACACCGCTGTCAGCGATGGTAGCAATAGTTAGGGTTTGCGGTGTCTCTGGTAGTGGTGCTGATGGTAGTGATGATGATATGCCGGCGCCGGGCTTAAGGGATCAGCCTTTAAAACCAGTCATTTTTAAAAATATATGCTTTTGGATGAAATTGTTTTAGAAACTAAAAAATTGAAAGTGATTTATATTACTTTAGTCTTAAACAATACTTTTGTCGGTTAACCACATCGTCCTTTTGGGTCCCTTTTTCATCTCTCTCTCTCTCTCTCTCTCTCTCTCTCTCTCTCCCTCCCTCTCCCTCTTGACTTTCCCGAACCAAATCAATGATAAGAACAAGATTATAAAATCATGGTCTTTTAATGGCAACATTTATTTTGATTTTTATTACTTTTATAGTAAGTATAGGAATTTCTATATGTTTTTATGTTTGAAAAATCTATTATAAAACATTAGAGAATTTTGTTATTTTTTATTTTAATATAAATAGAGTATTATTTTTATTATAGTATTTGCTATTTAATAGAAATATACTGAATATATACCTAATTTATATACAGTAATACACTATATATTTTGTGGGTTTAAACACCCGATTATAGACTATTTATTAAATGACTTTATATTTTAGTCGTCAAAACAAATATTGTTTATTTGCCATCAAATGTAATAAAATGTTTGCCACAAAAACGAAGAAAATATAATTCATACGAATAAATGAATAATATTTTTGTTTGATTACAATTTTACATACATTTCTGTCCTAAATTCTGTGCCATAAAATATTTCATACATAAGCATAACATTATGTAAATAATACAAAATAATGAATATTTTATATATCCAACAATTTCATAACTCTTTTAAATGAATGCTAAATAAGTTATGGAAAACAACAAAAATATGTTTTTGAAATAAATTAAACTCGTGTTTAAATATTGAAATAGAAGTTCAAATGAAAATTTAAGCAAATTTTTCGCAACAACTCGTTTATCAGTGATAAATTATCACTGCAGGAAATGTACAAATATTTTGTTGTTTTTCATTTATTTAATTGCATGAAAATGTTTTGCGCAAAATTAACGTATAAATAGGTTTTAATTTTTAATTATTTTTCACCAAAATATTTAAACCCATTATTAATTAATTAATTTTTGCTGAAATTAAATTTTTAATTAACTTTTATTAAGATAATTAAGAGAAAATTTGTTGCTTTTTTGCTGTGTTGAGAGAATTGTTTTTAATTTACTAAAAAAACATAACAAAATAGCATTTATTTATAGCAACAAAAATATTCATTAATTCTCAATAAGTGTGCCGTAAATTATAAAACACAAGAATATTCTGTACAGTAATCTATGCACACATGTAAAAAGTGAGTCGTTTGTGATTTATTAAATAATTTGTGTTTTAAATTTACTTTTACTCTCCAAACAAACAAAACCTAATCTAACAAAAGCTTAAAGCCGTGAATGGAAAGCGAAAGTCGACGAATAAATTGAAATATAATTCCGGTTGAAAATGAAGACACACTTCGTTACAGCGAAATTGAATGAGAAAATAAAATTTTTAAGGGTTAGTAAATTGCATAATAATCTCCGCCTTGTGTTCAAAAAATACAATGTGTTTAATCAAAGTCTTGTTATGAGGCTTACAATCAAATAATTATTATAGTTATTACAGGAGTTTTTTCGATGCATTTTTGGGGTTATAATGTGTCGCACATTACAGAGACCGACGACTAATACTATACTCACTAAACAATTCCCACAAAGATTAGGGCAAAGAATATCGTTTAGTTCGCTCTCTCTCTCACACAATATTCTCACTCTCTTTCCCCTCAATCCCAACGGGTTTTGGGATGTCTTCATTGCTTTCGGTTGACGAGTGAACCCAACGCCAGCGCCTAATGGTTAGTATAGCTCTCACACAATATTCTCTCTCTCTCTCTCTCTCTCTCTCTCCAACTTCTAGAGCCGGGGATCTGATAAAGAAAATAATGTGTTATTATTATATAAACAAATAGATAAGTTGAAAAAGTAAAGTCCAAAGCACCTGAACTGAAGTCGTCTTTTTGGGATGTGATGACTGGTGCAGTACTACTACCGCAGTATCACTACTACCGGAGCGCACATCCAGTGTGTGATGTGTGCGAAGAAAGTGATCGCAACAATACTGATGGCAATACTGATGGATGACAACCGAAAGCAATGAAGACATCCCAAAACCCGTTGGGATTGAGGGGAAAGAGAGTGAGAATATTGTGTGAGAGCTATACTAACCATTAGGCGCTGGCGTTGGGTTCACTCGTCTCCTCTTTTATATATAATAAAAAAGTAGAGATAATAAGAATGAAAATATAATATGCGTTTGGCTTATGGCTTATAACTGGTTGTCTTCCCAACGGTTCCCATCCTATGATGAGGTGACGGACGAAATCATATAAAAGGAGCTCTTATTTGATAAATGATTCGCTTTTCGCTTTAATTTAGACGAATAAATGCCATAAAGAATGAACGCTTCCTTCACTGTATCCTTACATTCCATCAACAATTGGTCGCAGAGAGAGAGAGAGAGAGAGAGAGAGAGAGAGAGAGAGAGAGTCGATGAGGTTATGTTGTTATATCTAACAAGTAAGTTGTAAGTTATACTTGAAAATAAACACATAAAAAGTTTCTTTGAAACATATCTTAGCGTTTCTATCATTTTTTGGACTTTTCGTATCATTTAAAGAAATGCATAGAAAAATATTGACTGAAAATATAATCAAAAACTATGTATAATATACTGTAGAATCTACAGTGTAGATGTTTGCAAAATGTTGAAAGTACTGTATTGTAGTCGAGCACTGGTAAGCAATGAAAACATAGAGTACTCATTGCCCATCATTTGATGACAAACTTCACTCCATATGAATAATGTCTGTAATGAAGGGATTTTCAGATCATTGAATTTTGAATGTCCAGCAGACTGACCATTACTCTCTCTCTCTCTCTCCCTTACTTTATAGTTGAGTTATTACAGGAGTTTTTTCGATGCATATATCAGATCCCCGGCTCTAGAAGTTGGAGAGAGAGAGAGAGAGAGAGAGAGTCGATGAGGTTATGTTGTTATATCTAACAAGTAAGTTGTAAGTTATACTTGAAAATAAACACACAAAAAGTTTTTTCGAAAAATATTGTTAGCGTTTTCTATCATTTTTCGGATTTTCGTATCATTTAAAGAAATGCATAGAAAAATATTGACTGAAAATATAATCAAAAAGTATGTAAAGATGTACATTTTGCAAACATCTATATTATAAAGATGTTTGCAAAATGTTGAAAGTACTGTATTGTAGTCGAGCACTGGTAAGCAATGAAAACATAGAGTACTCATTGCCCATCATTTGATGACAAACCTCACTCCATATGAATAATGTCTGTAATGAAGGGATTTTCAGATCATTGAATTTTGAATGTCCAGCAGACTGACCATTACTCTCTCTCTCTCTCTCTCTCTCTCTCTGCGACCAATTGTTGATGGAATGTAAGGATACAGTGAAGGAAGCGTTCATAGTCCGCAGGTGCAGAGCCAGTCGGGGCCGTCGATGCAGAGCCAGATGTGCTCCAAACTGACCAAAAACGACGAATGCCAATACTATCCTAACATTCAGGGAAAAGTGGACAGAAATATTGAGACATAACCGGAAAGTCACTCATAAGTGTTGGGCCGAGAAATGACAGAAACAACAAAACCAGTGAAAAAGAGTATAAAACTGGACTTTTAGACACAAAAATTCGTATTAACATTAAGTGCATTGCATTTACTGTAATGACAATCCAATAATGAGAGAGTGAGTGAGTGAGTGAGTGTGTGTGTGTGAGAGAGAGAGAGAGAGAGAGAGAGAGAGAGAGAGAGAGAGTCTATTAAAAGTATACTTAAATAGTATTGAAAGTAATCAGAAAAGCGTGAAATTCTTTTCACCAAAACAAACTCTTTAACCCAAAAGTCTAAATAAAATGTCAATCACTGAACAGAAAGATAGCGAATAGAGTAAAGAGTTCTGTATAGAGAATAGAGAATAAACACATCCTTCTCTCTCTCTCTCTCTCTCTCTCTCTCTCCCTTACTTTATAGTTGAGTTATTATAAGATAATGCAATGCAAACACAACATTACTGTCCGGCTATTGATTAAAAAAGTTGGTCAACAAATCGCATCAATACTTCCCCAACACTTTTAGCACAGATATAAACATGTTTTTCACAGCAAACAATGAACTGATAATAACAGTTAACGAATATCATTATTATTGTTATTTATATGAAATAATATTTGATTGTCTGTTTTTCACAGTCTATACAACAGTGTTGGCAATGGTGTGGACCAGGCGTTTGGTGATAGCGTTGGGCACATGTATGTCCGTTACGGACTATTAAGTTGAGAGTTCCGGTCAGTCAGTGGGCGCACGGAATGGCCCCCAATATTAGTTGTTGTATATGTTATGAAAGTATATGTTTGGCTCTAAACACTTAATGGCCTAATAGAGTGCATGAGCCGAGCGTTTTGCGCCCGGATATTAAATAATACATCACTTTTTATGTGGTATTCAATTAATTACATCCACAATATAATCAATTAGCAGATTATGTATTTGGCGTAACGTTTTTGCTATAGTTTTTTGGATCCAAATATTTGTTGAATTTATTGCTTTTTATTCAATAGTTATAAAGAAAAACAAAAACTTATGGAAGTTTACGGAAACGATTCATTAAATCACTCAATACAACACAATCTCTAATATAAATGTAAATTATTAGAAAATATAAAAAATTAGAAAAAATATATTATTAATTTTTTACTTAAATAATACTGTTTTTAAAAATATGTACAACTTTTCATAAGTCATGTTAACATGAAATGGGTTTATAAATTAAGAAATAAATTAACAAAAACAATGTAATTTATCACATCATTCGCATTTTATGCGTTTACAAACATTAATAATACTTTTATTATCAATAATATTCTTAATTTCATTCATATTTTTATTACTTGTATTGAAACGATGGAAAAATAGTCTTATTTTTGCATACGTTTGGTTCAAATACAAGTCTTTGGAATGCTTTTTGATAAACCTTTCGATCCATTTGGACAGACCGTCCGATAGTGAGGCGAACCGGGAGTCCAGCAAAACAATCACTCCGTAGTCGTCCTTATGTCGGACCACTCGACCGATCGCCTGATTCAACGCCCGTTTCATTTGCAACGCATACCACTCGTGAGGCGTGAGTCCGATCTGGGCTTCGGTTAAATACTTTTTCTTAAGCATAACGCGCGGATCAAATACCGCCGGATATGGGAGGCCAGTCATGACGACCGCACGGCAGTAGTCGTCCGGCAAATCGATACCTTCGGACAGTTTGCCGCGGAATACACCCAAAAAGGCGGCGCCGTTGGAGAAGCCGTCGTCCACTGTTTGCTTATATCTCTCAAACGCTTTATTAAATTCTAGCTTATTTTGGGGCTCAAGAAACACGCGTTTCACTCGATTTAGGTCTTCCCACACCCGGAGTTGAGTCCAGAGTTTAGTGCATCTATTGAGCACCTGATAGGACGGGAAGAACACCAGAATCCCTTTGGGAGTCGCTTTGAATACGTCGACCAGTGTCTGACCCAATGCCCGCACGTAATCCTCTTTCTCGCGGTTCCGGTAATTCGAGGACAACATTACGTTGTCTTTGGATTCACCGATGGTTACTATCGACAGCTGATTGTCGCCAATGATGTGATTGTTTTGAAGTTTTATCTCAAACTTCATATCCATTTCCAACTCAAACGAGTGAATCGGTGCCAGAGTTCCGCTCGTGATTATCATACTGTGGACGCCTTCGGCCATCAGTTCTTTGCCGCCAACACTTGGACTCATACACCTGAACGACACGATAAACATACGGTTAAATCTTAATGAAATTCAATAGAGTTTAAATCGTAATTACCAAACATTAAAGACCCACATGTCTTGAAAAGTATCATTAATTTCAAAATAAAGCTTATATTTCAGACAAAATTCATGTTTATAATCGTCTAACTTTTCCGGTGTTAACCATTTCGGGTATATCAAGCATTTTTTCAGAAAGTGGCTTGCCTATCTGTACACAACTGACCACCATGGCTACGGCACTTTCGTTGTGTTAAGCATGTATTTCGGTTACTTAGGTTATGTGCTAGGCTACCGGAGCATAAGTTAGCCCGATTCGTCCAACAGTTTAAACAACTCTTTAGTTAATGGTTTGTCAACGAATTTGGCCACAAAACGGGCAAATATAAGCTTCTGGAGTTCGCAGAGCTTTGAGGACAACTCGAGCACCCGATTGATATTGTATTGGGCGTCACATTTGAACCTATCGTTCACTTTCTCTTCGGGCGTCCGTTGCATCCATTCGCTAATTGAATGCAATTGTTTGATACAAGTGTCCAGCGTTTGGCCGTTCATGGATGTGGACATCGCCTCCTCGAACCTGTCCTCGATATTGTGTCCCTCATCGAAGATAATCACAGAGTTCTTCACTCTCAACGATTTGGTCATTTTCATTGAGTGTCGTATCCGCGGCTCAATCACATAGTTATACGGCATGAACAGCACCGACGCCTTGTCGGCCAGTTTGCGGGCCGAGTAATACGGACAGCACTCGTGTTGCCGACCGAAGTCCACCAGATCTTCGATGTCCATCACTTTGCAGCCGTTCCGCGACTTATAGTATTTCTCGATATTTTTGTCCACTTTTTCCTGAACGTTAGGATAGTATTGGCATTCGTCGTGTTTTGTCAGTTTGGAGCACATCTGGCTCTGCATCGACGGCCCCGACTGGCTCTGCACCTGCGGACACAGACACAGCTGTTCCCGCGACGCCAACACAACCGCCGGTTCCGTCCGGTACTCCGTTTGTTTCAATTGGCGACAACTTTGCGATAACTGGGAATGCGTTCGACTCGTGTACACAATCTGTGGCTCCCGTTTGCCGAATCTGTCGCCGCTATCATCGCTGCGGACCTCGTCCTCAACTTCTGGAGCCTCTATTGGTGGACTGTCTTCAATGGTTATCACTTCTGGAACCACTTTTGGCGGACTATCAATGATAATAACCTCTGGTTTACTGTCATCGTTGGTCATCATTGAATCGTCATCACTGGTCATAAGCGACTCATTCGTCTCGTCTATTGTCTTCACCACCAGATGCTCATCGAAAGAGTTGTCGAAATTATGGTCAAACACCTGAACGTCAAAACACTCTTCTTTGATATTAACGATATCAGTGTCGGACACGACTGGCTTTTGATCGATACTAATGGCCGCCGAAGTGGTCGCCGTTTCCATCACTGGATTCCACATCTCGTCTAAGAGTTGAATGGCCGCCGAAGTGGTCGCCGTTTCCACCACTGGATTCCACAACTCGTCTAAGAATTGACTTAATATGTCGTCAAACGGGTCCCGAGGAGTGGGCTTAAGAAGTCGTTGGTAGCGAATCCACGCCAACGACGAGCACAGTATGCATAACGTCTTTCCCGTACCCGTCGGCGACTCCAACAGTCCATTCTGTTTCTGGATGTGGAAGAATGAGAAGACAATTAGTGGCCCAAAACATACATATAGTCAACAATGTCTTTGCGGTGACAATACCTGTTGACAGCACCTAATCATAGACCGCATGTAATCCAGTTGTAAACCGTATGGTTTGTACGGGAAGTGCACTTCTATACCATCGATGACTATCGGCTCCCGAGTGTTGTCCATCANNNNTGATGGACAACACTCGGGAGCCGATAGTCATCGATGGTATAGAAGTGCACTTCCCGTACAAACCATACGGTTTACAACTGGATTACATGCGGTCTATGATTAGGTGCTGTCAACAGGTATTGTCACCGCAAAGACATTGTTGACTATATGTATGTTTTGGGCCACTAATTGTCTTCTCATTCTTCCACATCCAGAAACAGAATGGACTGTTGGAGTCGCCGACGGGTACGGGAAAGACGTTATGCATACTGTGCTCGTCGTTGGCGTGGATTCGCTACCAACGACTTCTTAAGCCCACTCCTCGGGACCCGTTTGACGACATATTAAGTCAATTCTTAGACGAGTTGTGGAATCCAGTGGTGGAAACGGCGACCACTTCGGCGGCCATTCAACTCTTAGACGAGATGTGGAATCCAGTGATGGAAACGGCGACCACTTCGGCGGCCATTAGTATCGATCAAAAGCCAGTCGTGTCCGACACTGATATCGTTAATATCAAAGAAGAGTGTTTTGACGTTCAGGTGTTTGACCATAATTTCGACAACTCTTTCGATGAGCATCTGGTGGTGAAGACAATAGACGAGACGAATGAGTCGCTTATGACCAGTGATGACGATTCAATGATGACCAACGATGACAGTAAACCAGAGGTTATTATCATTGATAGTCCGCCAAAAGTGGTTCCAGAAGTGATAACCATTGAAGACAGTCCACCAATAGAGGCTCCAGAAGTTGAGGACGAGGTCCGCAGCGATGATAGCGGCGACAGATTCGGCAAACGGGAGCCACAGATTGTGTACACGAGTCGAACGCATTCCCAGTTATCGCAAAGTTGTCGCCAATTGAAACAAACGGAGTACCGGACGGAACCGGCGGTTGTGTTGGCGTCGCGGGAACAGCTGTGTCTGTGTCCGCAGGTGCAGAGCCAGTCGGGGCCGTCGATGCAGAGCCAGATGTGCTCCAAACTGACAAAACACGACGAATGCCAATACTATCCTAACGTTCAGGAAAAAGTGGACAAAAATATCGAGAAATACTATAAGTCGCGGAACGGCTGCAAAGTGATGGACATCGAAGATCTGGTGGACTTCGGTCGGCAACACGAGTGCTGTCCGTATTACTCGGCCCGCAAACTGGCCGACAAGGCGTCGGTGCTGTTCATGCCGTATAACTATGTGATTGAGCCGCGGATACGACACTCAATGAAAATGACCAAATCGTTGAGAGTGAAGAACTCTGTGATTATCTTCGATGAGGGACACAATATCGAGGACAGGTTCGAGGAGGCGATGTCCACATCCATGAACGGCCAAACGCTGGACACTTGTATCAAACAATTGCATTCAATTAGCGAATGGATGCAACGGACGCCCGAAGAGAAAGTGAACGATAGGTTCAAATGTGACGCCCAATACAATATCAATCGGGTGCTCGAGTTGTCCTCAAAGCTCTGCGAACTCCAGAAGCTTATATTTGCCCGTTTTGTGGCCAAATTCGTTGACAAACCATTAACTAAAGAGTTGTTTAAACTGTTGGACGAATCGGGCTTTGAATACGAGGCCATCGGATCGTGTATTGGATTCATTGGCTTTATGTACGAATTGTGTTGCTTTCACGGCATCGGTACCACCAGTCAACACATGTCTATCCGTTCGGTGAAAGACTTTTTTACGAAAATATACCCGAAATGGTTAACACCGGAAAAGTTAGACGATTATAAACATGAATTTTGTCTGAAATATAAGCTTTATTTTGAAATTAATGACACTTTTCATGACATTTGGGTGTTTAATGTTTGGTAATTATGATTTAAACTCTATTGAATTTCATTAAGATTTAACCATATGTTTATCATGTCATTCAGGTGTATGAGTCCAAGTGTTGGCGCCAAAGAACTGATGGCCGAAGGCGTCCACAGTATGATAATCACGAGCGGAACTCTGGCACCGATTCACTCGTTTGAGTTGGAAATGGATATGAAGTTTGAGGAAATACTACAAAACAATCACATCATTGGCGACAATCAGCTGTCGATCGTAACCATCGGTGAATCCAAAGACAACGTAATGTTGTCCTCGAATTACAAGAACCGCGACAAAGAGGAGTACGTGCGGGCATTGGGTCAGACACTGGTCGACGTATTCAAAGCGACCCCCAAAGGGATTCTGGTGTTCTTCTCGTCCTATCAGGTGCTCAATAAATGCGCTAAACTCTGGACTCAACTCCGGGTGTGGGAAGAGCTCAATGCAGTGAAACGCGTGTTTCTTGAGCCCCAAAATAAGCTGGAATTTAATAAAGCCTTTGAGAGATATAAGCAAACAGTGGACAACGGCTTCTCCAACGGCGCCGCCTTTTTAGGTGTATTCCGCGGCAAACTGTCCGAAGGTATCGATTTGCCGGACGACTACTGCCGTGCGGTTGTCATGACTGGCCTCCCATATCCGGCGGTATTTGATCCGCGCGTTATGCTTAAGAAAAAGTATTTAACCGAAGCCCAGATCGGACTCACGCCTCACGAGTGGTATGCGTTGCAAATGAAACGGGCGTTGAATCAGGCGATCGGTCGAGTGGTCCGACATAAGGACGACTACGGAGTGATTAGAAAAAGTATTTAACCGAAGCCCAGATCGGACTCACGCCTCACGAGTGGTATGCGTTGCAAATGAAACGGGCGTTGAATCAGGCGATCGGTCGAGTGGTCCGACATAAGGACGACTACGGAGTGATTATTCTACTCGACTCCCGGTTCGCCTCACTATCGGACGGTCTCTCCAAATGGATCGAAAGGTTTATTAAAAAGCATTCGAAAGGCTTGTATTTGAACCAAACGTATGCAAAAATAAGACTATTTTTCCATCGTTTCAATACAAGTAATAAAAATATGAATGAAAATAAGAATATTATTGATAATAAAAGTATTATTAATGTTTGTAAACGCATAAAATGCGAATAATGTGATAAATTACATTGTTTTTGTTAATTCATTTCTTAATTTATAAACCCATTTCATGTTAACATGACTTATGACAAAGTTGTACATATTTTTATAAAACACTATTATTTAAGTAAAAAATAATATATTTTTTCATTTTCTAATAATTTACATTTATATTAGAGATTGTGTTGTATTGAGTGATTCAATGAATCGTTTCCGTAAACTTCCATAAGTTTTTGTTTTTCTTTATAACTATTGAATAAAAAGCAATAAATTCAACAAATATTTGGATCCAAAAAACGGTACGAAACCAGAAGAGTGGGCCCAGCAAATTTTTAAAATAATTTTTTTTATTATGCATTAATTTTATGTGAAATTGAACGCTAAACACGAATATGCAATTCAATTTTTTTTATCTCGAATATTTT